TACACGCCCCGGGGGCTCCTCCCGGAGGGAGCCCCCTCCCACGTACCAGTGGAAGCACCATGCTCCGCGCTGGCTGACGACAATGCCGAGGAGCGGCTATGCCCGTACACATACGGAAGCGCTATGCTCCCCGCTGGTGATAAACAACTGAGGGCGGCCCCCGGGCCGCACCAACCTCAGGGAGCCCAGAGCTCAGTGTCTAGCCTCATCGTAACGCCTCCCCTCGGGAGTGCCGCGCGAGGGGGCTGGGCACGGGGGCTGCGCCTGGGTCACGCCCAGACGCACGCCACCCAGGCAGGCCCCCCGGGCCTGGTTCGTCGCGCGTCTCTCCCCGTGCGGAGCCAAGGTACGAAGGTCGTTTGAGCGTCAAGGGGGACTCCTGAGCATTGCGACTCAGGAGCCTAACTGGTCACGTAGCCCCTCACTCCTTAGTTCCGAAAGGCTAACGACGGTTGAGGTATGCGTGCGGCCGGGCTCTGCAGACGTAGAATGATAGATCCACCCACATCACACCTCCCTACTTACTGTTCGTGTGCCAAGGGGGACTCCTGAGCATCGCGACTCAGGAGCCTAACTTGTCACGTAGCCCCTCACTCCTTGGTCCCGTCCTGGTTTCCGGTCGGGGCTAACGGCGGCTGAGGTATGCGCGGGGTCGGGCTCTGCCGGCGTAGAACATAAGAAAGTAGGAAGGAAAAGCGTAAATTTCAAGGAATTCAAAAGCAAATATTACAGTCCACACTGTTATCTCAATGCCAAACACAAGTTTAAACGCCTCCCCGAGGCATGATACATGTGGAGGAATTAAAAGCAGGACATGAGCCACAACGGAGTCACTTGTCGGCGGTGGAGCAGCGCGGAGTGGGTTCGCCTCATGGAGCAGCGGGGTCGGCAGCGTCTTGCTTCGGCTTGGTGCTGAAGGCCCGGAACTTCCCCAGCAGAGCCTCCGCGCGACCTTTTACGGCCTCGGCAGCGGCAGCGGCACGCTCGCCGCTTATTGGCTCCAGCAGGCTATCGAGGTCGGCGCCGGGATCGCAAAGGTAGATGTGGGTGAGGACCCGCGTCAGCGCTGCAGAAGACAGGACACGCGTCTCGGCCTCAGCCGTGGGGCCAAGGCCAAGGGCGACGTCTTCAAGAGCGCGAACCAGAAAGAGAAGCAGCTTGGCGGGGCCGTCCTCGGCCCCAGCCAGCGGGCTCTCCAGGCCGCTATCGTAAAGCGTCCTCAGCGAGGAGCGAGCCTTCGCCTCCATCTCCGCGAAGGCCACGTGGTCCTCAGCAAGAACCTGGGCCTTGTCGTCCAGCTCGGCCTTCCTCGCCCCCAACTCCTGCTCCAGCGCGCCTAGGCGGTCACGGCGCCTCCTGAGCTTGACCTTCCTCTCCTTGACGGCCGCCTCGCGATCCTTCACGCCTTCTTCCTGCTCTTGGCGAAGGCGGGCCTCTTTCGCGAGCTGGTCCCGCAGGCCTTGCAGCTCGTCCTCCAGCGCCTTGCAGCGACCACGGACGTCGACCACCTCCCCCAGGGCTGCGTCACGAGCAGGCTTCGCCTCAAGGATGGCCTGCCTCTCCTCATTGCAAGCCGTCGAGGCCTGGACCAGCGCCGCCCGAATCGAAGCGTTGGAGCGAACCCATCCTGAAGCCAGCTCCAAGCGCCCGGCCACCAAGCAAGGGTCGGCGCCAAGAAGATCCTGCCACAGTCGGTCCAGCTCAGCAGCAGCACGATCTAGAACGGCATGAGGAGTCGGAGAGACAGCAGCCGGTGGAGCAGGAGGAGAAGGCGGCAGCGCGACCACAACATCCTGAGGCGGAGCCTGCTGCGCCCTAACGGCTGTAGTGGCGGAAGCAGGCAAAGGCACCTCGGGAGTCACTTGGGCCATGGGGGCTGAGCTCGCCCCAGCCGGCTCAGCCAGGCCTCGCGAGGACGACCGGGCAGGAGAAGCCCGTGCGTCGCGGTCACCCTCCTTCGCGGGCAGAGGCGCTGCCACGGATGGAACCTCAGGAGCTCCCTTCGGCTTCTTTGCTGCGGGCACCAGCCTATCCAAGAGATGCGGACGTCAAGCCTCAGAAGCAGAACAAGAAATAAAGACAAGAATCAAGCGCTTACGGGTCGTCGCCAGTGAGCTCAAGCGGCCTCCGGCCAAATTTGAAGCCTGAAAGCCGGCTGGAAGGGTCAACCTCGGGAAGCTTGGAAGCGGAAGGCGCGTCTGCGGTCCGCCTCGGGGCCGGGGCAGACCCGCGGGAGATCAGCCCGGTCCTGTCCTTCTTCGGGATCGAGGGCAAGCTCCCGCCGTCCTGCTCGTCATCATCCTCGTTGTCATCGCTCGGTGAGAGGCGGAGAACGCGGGACCTGCGCCGGGGGAGGGGAGCCCTCGACTCTCCGTCAGTCGCCTCGAAGTCAGGCCCTTTTTCCCGCTCCCCTCCTTCCTCCTCTTCGCTGGAGTCGTCGGAGGACACGTCCACCGATTCCCTGGGAGTTTCCATAGGCACGGGCCCGTCCCCGTTGAAGACGGGCATGGACTCCACTACCTGCTCCCAGTCGTCGCGGAGGAACAAGGGCGTAGGAGCGCCCTCCAACCTCGCCACATCGCCCCCCGACCAGAGATTGGAGGACCGCAGCCAGATCTTTGTTGGCCAAGGCCGCGGGGCTCGGATGGGGCCTCCACATCAGAAGTGAGTACTGCCGAAGCGGAGCCAGCTGGTGCTCCAGGAATTCCCTCAACAGTGACGCGCCGGTCAGCTTCGCCGCCGCCATGTTGGCCGGCCTCAGATCCGTGTCCATCTTCTCCAACACCAGCTTCGCGTGGGGGTCCGCGAGCTCCGCTCGACCCCAATCGCTGGAGCTCGTGGGTTGCTCCGTGGGCAAGATCAGCCGAGGGTGGATGCGCCCAGCATCTGCCAAGACCCACTTGCTCCTGAAGCCCTCAATCCTTTTCCCGGGGTTCGAAATGGCAATGGCGCCACCGTACGCGATGAAGCTCGCGCACGCAGAAGCAGGACCACGAGAGGTCCGGAGGTAAAAGTAGTGGCGCAGCAAGGCCACTGAGGGCTGCACCCCTACGTGAGCCTCGCAGTAATAGGCGAAGATTGCCAGGAGAAGGACGGAGTTGGGGTGGAGATGCAGAGCCTGTAGCTTATAATGGCAGAGGACAGAGAAGAACAACTCGGAGAAGGGAGGCACCAGGCCAGCAGCAATGGCGCTTACAAAGAACAGATAGAAGGTGCTCCCTTGGCCCTCAGGGGTGGCGGAGCCGGCCTTGAACACCTTCGCCCCGTCGATGCCCTGCGCTGCCGCCATCCGGCGCAACCGGGCAAGGCTCGCCTCCGACACGTTCGGCGAGTCCAGGACAAACGAGTACCAAGCTCCGGTCGGGGACTGACGAGGCGCCATGGCTTCCTAGGTCACGCGGTCGGAGTAGATCTGGAAATTTTGGAGGAAGGAAGGAGAGGCGCAAGAAAGGGGATCTGAGCAGCAACCGGAGAAAGCAGAAAGCAAAGCCCAGGCAGATGCCGCTCCTTTATCAACTCGCGCGGTTGCTGAGGCGCCCACGTCCAATCAACCGCCACGCGGCGCCCAAGGCCGCAGGCTGTTAGGGCCCGCGGCGCTTCGCCCTTGCCCTTTCGCCTCCCTGCACGGCCAAGTCCGGGCGCGCCTTGGGCCCGGGGGCTACTGTCGGCGTTCTGGAAACGGGGGTCCCCAGACTTGCCTGCCTGCGGCCTACGGCATGGCTCAAAAGGGGGCCCAGCACGGCCCATCTTCATCAACACAGACTCAAGATCCTCGCGAGGGGCCAAGCCTCGCGGGGCAGACGACACGGAGCTTCCTCAGGCACGACCTCATCAGGCTGGCTCGCGAGAAGGCAGAGAGATCAAGGCGGGGTACCTCACGAGGTGCCCGTGACGCAAGCCATGACGACCAAGGGCGCCAGGCGGGCGCCAGCCCGTGCAGTGTCCTCCTTTCCTCTTTGGTGCAAAGGGAGCAAGCGCAGGCGGGAGCATCAAGCAAAGGCGCCCGTTTCGATGCAACGAGACCAAGACCAGTCCAATGGCAGGGAGGGAGTCATTGTAGAGCCCAAGCCAGCGTCACCACCAGAGTCTTTGGCAGACGATGACCAACTTTAGTCAGGATAAGTGTACCAGATGTTCCCCTTCAAAATGGCCAATTGTTAGCGCCCTTCCTGCTCAATATTTGGGAAGAGGCCCAGGGCCATTGCCTATAAATAGGACTAGCCACCCCCAGGGTAGGGGGGATCTAGAATCGGCCAACCCTGAAACAAGCTGAGACCGAAATCGGAGAGAGAATCGAGAAAAGAGAGAGAGGGAAGGGTGACTGAACTCCTCCTAGCAGTTCATCCCCCCGGCCAAGAACAAACCCTCGCGAGGCTATTCTTCCTTGTATTGTTCATCATCATCAGCCCAAGAGGCAATCCACCACACCACACACCAGAGTAGGGTATTACACCACAACGGTGGCCCGAACCAGTATAAATCCTGTGTCTCTTATGTTGTTTTTTCCATAGCTTAGATCTTAGCAAGGCGGAGGGGTACAGGTAGGTAAAAGGCAAAATCTCCACGCGCACTCCAATGTTCGAACCTCAAGGGTCTGCCGGAACCCGAAATCCGACACACATTGCACAATAGATTATTATGAATGAAAAGGCCAAGTTCCATGTCAAAATGATACGGGACGTGGCTTAGATGTCAGGGTATAATGCTGAGGCTATGTTGAACAGTCCCTAGGACCACGATTCCAGCACACCTAACACAAGAAGCCATCAACTGACAGCAGTTCGTTTACAACATGCCATTGCACAAGCGGCAGCATCAGGAACATCTCTACTGTTTCTAATGCTAACATGAAATCGTAAGCAACCACGCCGTCGTAGATCTCCGGCCAGTCCCCATGCTATCACGGCATCGTATGCAACCACGCCAGCAGAGATCTCTGGCAAGTCCTCATGCTAACACATGGCATCATATGCAACCGCACTGTCAGAGAAGATCTCTTGTCAGTCCTCGTCCATGACATCAAGAGCAGGTATTCGTCTGAAGCGTCCGCCGTGCCTTAGGTCCCCTGATATTGGCGATCTTGACTCTATTCTTTTCTTCTTAGGCGTAGAATGTTCACCGGCTACTGATTCAAAGAGTTCTCCCATATTTGACATGTTGGGCCTCTTCTTATCCGGCTCCTCTTTCAGGAAACTGAACACATGCACCCATAGAAAATGTTAGCATGCTGCAAGTCTACATTCAGACACTGAGCACTGTTTCACTTACTAAAGAGTTACAACCCAGAAAGGAAAATGCCAGTTCCAAGGAAAGAACCAAAGTGTACCTCTCCCGGATGATCTTAAACGCTGCCATTGTCGCATAAGGTAATCCAGTCTTTGGATCACGGTATCTACAAGTAAAGCCAAGCCTAAAATAAGATTATCACTTCAAATAACAACCATGGAGACATAACCCACTCTCAGCTTGTAACAGAATGCATCAGTTCAGGTGATACTAATGTAGGAGTATGTTCATTTCAAATCACCGAATCAAGTACTCCCTCCAATCCATATTACCTGTCGCTCAAATGGATGTATCTAGACGTATTTCAGCGCTAGGAACACCCATTTGAGCGACAAGTAATATGGATCGGAGGGAGTACTACCTTTGCTATTCCATCACGACAGAACACACTGAAGAGTACAACAATTGCTAGAACTAGGGTGTGCACAAAAATAATTCAGGCAATGCAATTTGTATGGGATTGTTGGATTGGACATAATCTGACACTCTCTAACCAACAGACACATATATATCACAATAAAACAAACCACCACCAACCAACACTGCACTGTAAAAACACGCAGCGATTAAAAACCAGAAACATGTGTGCATAATTTTATCAAGTGAAATATGTAATTGTATAAACATGGATGGAAGGAAGCTCCAACTTCACATACAAGGGAAAAGGAACATGAATTAAGGAATGAGCAAACTAGTGTACAGAAAACATACTTGGCAGGAAGTCCTGTTACAATGCAAACAGATTTTTCCGGATCTACAATAACAAAAATTAATACAAGACTACATTGAATTCAAACTGCCAGATAAATAAAAATGTACAGCACCAAAGAGAAACCAACACTTACAAGGAGTTGAAGTCGTACAAAGTTCAGACCCAAATGATGCCCCATTAATGAATTCCAGACGTGATTCCCCTAATTCAGCATGATCATAACTAGTAATCAGCACGCGTAGGATACAGGTTCTTATAATTGAAAAAGGCAGCACAAAAGGAGCAGCTTCTAAGTTCAGTATTCACATGTAAGCAGATATGCATATAGTAGTTACCATCTCTCGAGTGAAATCGAAGTGTAGGACCCTCATAGACAGCTTTCTGAACAACAGCTTTTTTCTTCACCTCCTCCTCTCTTGCCAGTACACGTTCAAGATTTCTCATGTTCATAATCTCTAAAATAGACAAAGGTAAACTAGTCAATCAACACTGGCAGATTCCATCTTTATCTTTGGGAAAGGCACAACGAAGAGGGAAACAGACCAGTTTCAGCTGCTTCCAAGAGCATCTCTTCTTGTGTCATACGTTTTTCTTCTCCCTCTTTTCTCTTCTTAATTGGCTGGTACAGTATAAAAGAGGGAAAACAATCAATCAGCCTGAAAATGCCATTTGTTTGGTACTACAAGATTCTGTTGTCCCTGAATATACTAATAACCATGAATGCAATACGTGGAGGGCTGCTGTACGGTTTACAGACCTTAGCAGTAGCTTTCTTTTCAGCACGTATTGCTTCTCGCTCAGCTTGTCTCACAATGACAGATGTTCTGGTTGATTTCCTGATCGTTTTCTCAGACTCCCATTCATCAGGAACATCTGATTGTTTGGATGAAGTTGTCTTATCAGGATTCTTGTCATCTATGCCTTCATCATCCTCTAGTTTGATGACCTTATTCTTCTTCTTCTTCTTCTTGGCTTTCATTTTTTTCATGGTCTTCCCAGGGAAAACTAGCCGCTTCTTAATAGGTAATCTGGTCCATAATCAGGGCACGATTTAGATATATATAACTGACTGTTACGCAGTGCATGAATGTGCTCTGATATGCTTATGAGCTACCATGAAACATGTGTTACCTCTCACTCACTTCCTTCTCTGGGTCGTCGTCAGGTTGAGGTTCCTGGAAAGGAGTTGGATTAGCACAGGCAGTGAGAAAATTATTATGAGCAACAGAGCAAGAGAAGACCAACTTTACAAAAGCTACAATGAATAAGTAAACCAATTGAACAGATTGGGATGAGCAGAAGGAGGGATCTCACATCTTCATCGAAATCACTGTCGAATACATCACCAGCATCCTGCTCTTCCTGATAGTTATCATCCTCCTCGTCCTGCCAGAAAGGACGGAGCAAGTTGAAGAACAGTAAACAGCTTATGAATATGAGCAGAAGAGATGATTCCGTAGCAACCGACGGACCTCCTTCAGGGCTTCTTGGCCCCAGAAAGCCTCGTCAAGCTCGACCTCCTCCTCTACGAGCTTGGTTATCCTGCGCAATCAGGGGGGGCAGACAGCGTAAGGAGAAGGGAAGATAGGTATAGGGCGAGGGGGAGGGAGAGCGAGGAGCAGGGAGACCACCTCTTTCCTCGGGTGGCACGCGCCGCGCGGTCGAGCAGGATGGGCGGCTCCTCCTCGCTTGCGGCGTGGTCGGCCATGGCGACTTCACCGGCGGCGAGATGGCGAATGGGTTCGTCTCGCGGTGCCGTGGGGGATTTGGGAGAAACAACGAGTTGGGACGACCGGACGAGTGACGGCCCAAATCTATGTTAACACTACCGGCCCAAAACAGCCCAAATATATATTTTGAGCTGTAAAGCCCAAATCTTTAGTCTTTCCTTTCTTTTTCTGAGATGATCTTTAGTCTTTTTTCCTTAATCATAAAAGTTTTACTTCGTGTCTCTAGACGCTACATGTCGGCCGTCTGATAACGGAAAAAGATCAACTGCCTCTATCACTTTTAGATGGATCTGCGAATGGCCATCCAATCTACCCACATAAGCAGTGACATCTCTTTGCAACCAGAGTGATGTTGCAATAGGCCCTCTGCAATAGGATGCTTGTTGCAATCACCTCTAAACATTATTTTCCTCCTGAAAATATTTGCAGCAAAAGTAATGTTGCGGAAATCTTTGCAACAGAGGGCATGTTGTAGAAATGTTGTTGGTCGTTTTCTAACATAATTTTTCCAAAAAAAGCTTGTGTTGTAGAAAACCTTTTGCAATAGATGACATGTTGCAGAAACGTTGCCACGACGGCTAGCGAGCTCGCCGGAGAAGCATGCTGATGCGCCCTTCCTTTTCCTCTCCTACTTCTTCTCATCCCCTCCCCTCTCATCTTCATCTCTCTTTCCACCCCGCTCTCTCACTCGTTGCATCCCCGTGTAGGCGGTAGCTCTTTCATCTCTCTCTCTCTCTCTCTCTCTC